TCTCTCATCAGTTGCTTTTGGAGAAGCCAGTCACCTTAGCCCTATGGAGAAGACCCATCCTTTAGAAGTGAGTCCCATGGAGGCTCCCTCATTTGGTTTCACAGAAGGGAAACACAAGAGGGGAAAAGAAGAAAAAATCTCATACCTCCAGTACTTCCCACTTGACTTCTTTGTTGTTGTTGTTGTTGTTGTTGTTGTTGCACTAGGTCTTCAAAGCAGCATGCAGGTTCTCAGGCTGTGGCATGAACTTAGTTGCCCATGAGGTGAGGTGAATGACAAGGGTGGGTCTGCTTCCTCACAGTAAGCCTTGCACTAAGGTGTCAAGCTCCAGGTACTAAAGAGTCTTTTTGGTGTGTGTGTGTGGGTGGGTGGGTGTGGGTGTGTGTGGGTGTGTGTGTGTGCTCAGTCGTGTCTGATTCTTTGTGACCCCATGGACTATAACCCTCCAGGCTCTGCTGTCCATGGAATTTTTCAGGCAAGAATACTGGAGTGGCTTGCCATTTCCTCCTCCAGGGGATCTTCCTGATCCAAGGATAGAACCCACGGCTCCTGCGACTGCTGCGTTGGCAGGCAGATTCTTTACCACTGTGCCACCTGGGAAGACCAAAAGAGTCTTTGGTAGTGACTATTTTTAGAATGAGAAAGATTTCGTTTATAAGAGTATCCTATAATCACCAAGGTAAACTCTGCTGCTGCTACTGCTAAGTCACTTCAGTCGTGTCCGACTCTGTGCGACCCCATAGATGGCAGCCCACCAGGCTCCCCCGTCCCTGGGATTCTCCAGGCAAGAACACTGGAGTGGGGTGCCATTGCCTTCTCCGAAGGTAAACTCTACTCTGTAACTAAAATCACCTGTTAATTACACTTACAGTTCCTTCCTTGGAAATCTTTTTGTTTTCCTGGAGTTAATAATTATCTTTTTCTTCATTTGTTTGGTTTTCTTTAACATCTAAGTCTTCCTGCAACTGTCAACAGACCCATAAAAATCTCTCTCAACACAATTTTACTCACCTTTAAACTATCAGATGATTTGCTTTTGTCCTGAAAATTCCCTTTTCTCCTTCTTAAGTGGGATGATGTACATCCTGAGTTAAAGCCTTTTTCTTTCTTGGTTTTCTTCTTTGTTGGGTGAAATACATCCTACCATATCTTCTTACAAATGAGTGCACAACAGGCAAAGTATTTTGAGATTTTTATGTCTGGGAATGACTTTACTCTAGCCTCATGCTCAATTCGTAATCTGACTGGATATAAGATTCTAGATTAAAATTATATTTACTTAGAAATTTTACAGGACAAATCCCTGAATTCCCACTGTTTTTCCACTATCATTCTGATTCTCAATTCTTTGCTTATGACTTCTTTTCTCACTGAGAACTTCAGTATCATCTTTTTATCCCTAAAATTTAACTGGATATAAATTGGTTGATGTGGATATTTTTCCCATTTATTGTACAGGGCACTCAGTATTCCAAGATGGTCTCCTGTCCTGCGGTCTGCACTTCAGAAAGGGTCCCATGCAAACACCAACACAAAGGCATTTTTTTTTTCCCTTTCACTGTCATTAGAAAATATTTTTAAAGTTCAGCAAGTAAATTTAAAAACAATAATTGTGAGAAAGAGGCAGAGATTGAACATGGGGCCCCCAAGGCCTGAGTATGCAGGATTGAGCATGTGTTAAGGTTCAGAATAAGTACACATCTTCTGTCCTGGTACATCAGGCAACAACAGAAAAAAAAAAATTACTTTTGCATAAACTTAGTCACCTCAAATCAACCAAAAACACATCCAGGCAGACAGGTTTGCCCACCCCTCACCCCCACCCCCAACCCCCACTGTAACTACACTCCCAGTTGCACCTGTGCTCAGTGGTATATTTAGGAGAGATGCTTAAAAATTCCTGGAAATCCTTTTCCAGAACTGAGACAAGAGGAAGGGAAACTTGTCCAGCAAATTCCCACAGGAGCTTGACCAGGTCAGTCCGGGCCTGACCATCCTCCAACCTGCTGTTCCAGCAGACACCCTGCCCCGACCCCCCTGAGCTTGCAGAGATGACCCAAGGGAACTCATGGCTCACTTGGTCTCTAGGCTTGGTCAAAAGGACAGCTTCCAATGAACAGGCTTTGGGAGTCAGGCAGCATAGGAAACACAACCTGAACCTAGGGTCTAACTTGGCATGTAACTTGTGAATATTCAGAGTTATTTATGCAGGCCTCCATTTGTATTCCTGCACTGGATTCTGCAATGTTAAGTGTAAGCCTATGGGTAATAATTGGACAGTTTCAGCATGGAGGAACATCCTTAAGTTCTTGAAAATATATTACACCGCTTCACTTATTGTTTCTTTCCCACTATATTCTATTTTCTTTGAACTTTGTGTTAGTTGAATTTTTTCTCACCTGTTGACCATCTCTTTGAATTTCTGTTCTATTTTAGTGAAAGAGTTCCTTAACTTCATGTTCCATTAAACTTATCATCAACTGTATTTACAAGGGCCAATACTTCTTTTCATCTTCTGGTTGATTATTTAATAGCATCCCATTCTTGTTTCAAGGATGCAATGTGTATTTTTGTCTCTCAGAATATATTAATTAGAGCTTATTAAAGGTTTCTTCTACTCCTCATATTGTCTATTTCCTCTGAATTCTTTTACTCTTGCTTTACTTGAAATTTGACAGAGATTTTCCTCAGATGTCTGATGATTGTTTTCTCTTCACACATCAGAGTTAGATACTAAAAGGATCAGAAAACTCTATGTGCATGAGAAGAATTTTTGTAGAATCTTGTGCCTCACAGTAGGATGATTGAATGGCATGATAGCTATTTTGTTGAGACTTATTTCTAGGTGCTGTCTCTCAGATAGCCCTGAATCTTCAGAAGAATCTTCTGTCTCCTGCTTGGGAAGCATAATCCTCATACTGGCACTTTGGAGTTGGCCAAAGGTTGGACGTCCTCCATTTGTTATAATCTTTATTTATTTGTAAAGGTTTTTTTTTTATATGCATAGTCACTCAGTCATGTCTGACTCTTTGTGACCCCATGAACAGTAGCCCACCAGGCCCCTCTGTCCATGGGATGCTCCAGGCAAGAATACTGGAGTGGGTTGCCATTTCCTTCTCCATTTTTTGATTTAGACCATTTTTAAAGTCTTTATGGAGTTTGTTACAATATTGCTTCTGTTTTCTGTTTTGACTTTTTGGCCCTGAGGCCTGTGGGATCTTTTCTCCCCAGCCAGGGATCAAGCATACCCTGTGCACTGGAAAGTCAAGTCTTAACCTCTGGATCACCAGGGACATCCCATTTCCATTTATTTTATAAGCTTTTATTGACTGTCCAGTTTTGAATAGAATCTCACTTGTATCTTCTAATGTAACAGTTGTCCCCAAGTCTAGTGCCTCTCTGATTCAGTTTTCCTATAGAATAAACCTACTCTCTCCACTGCAGTAAGAGAGGATATGAACCTGTTTCCTACCACCTATCTCCCCACCATCATCACTCCTCCTCCGATCTAATCTCACCAGGGTTCTGTAAGACCATCGGCTTACTTCTATTTGGTACCACTGTCCCCACCCTCAGATGTGCAAGCTAATGCAGTGTTACCTTTCTCCTTTCTGGTATATCACTAGCCAATCCACCAGTTTCCAATCTGTGTGTGTGTGTGTGTGTGTGTGTGTATATATATATATATATATATATATATATATTTACAATCTGTATATATCATGGCTTTTAATTATACTATACATTTTATCAAAGATGATAGCTGCATTTCTGTTTCTTTACCTGTTGTTCTGTTTAGACTTTGAGAAAAAAGGATAGGAAATGTTTTACTATTAACCTGTAAGTCACTCTCAGCTATATTTTAGGAAAGCAGTTGACCAATAGGCTAAGAAAGCAAAGCAAAATGGCTGCCTGCCAAAGGCTTATAAACCAAGGCTCCTGTTCCCATCCTTACATTCAAACAGCTCACACCAGGGTAACCAATGACTTCCAAGTTGCTGAAGTCAATGGACATTTTTCAATCATTATCTTAACTTGCTTCTCAGGAACAATAGGACATTTTGTCCTATTTAAACACCCTTTCCTTTGGCTTCATGATGCTGTATATACCTGTTTCATAGCTAACTCTCTGATTGCTCTTCTTACTTCTTTCATTTATCAAATATTTATTTAGTATTTATCAACTATTTCTTGAGTTCCTCCTATACACCAGCTATTTTACAGGAGTTTGGGATGTAATGATGAATACAAAATCCTGATTCCCACTATCTGGGAGTTAAAGTCTTGGATATCCTTTGCAGATGCATCTGCTTACATTTAGCCATGAAGTTATGAAATTCCTCTAATTTCGTTCTAGATTATTTTCTCATTATATACTATCACCTTAGAAATTTCCATCCTTTAAAACAAAACAGTGACAGGTATGTTAATCAACTTCATTGTGGTAATCTTTTCACTATACATGTGTATATCAAATCATCGTACCATACACTTTAATTCTGTGCAATTTTTTTTGGAACATTTTACAAGCTTTTGTGTCATTCTTGCCCAATGAATATGTTAAGTTACACAACAAAGGGAGGAATAAAGGTCATTAATCAATTGCCTGTGAAATAGAGATTTTCCTAGATAATCCAGGTGGGGCCCAGATGTGGAAGACAAGGGGCAGCATGGTGGGTGTTGGTGACTCTGCGATACATTGTGAGAATCAGTCAACTTTTGCCGGCTTCAAAGACATAAGAGGGCTATGGAAAGTGGGAAAGGGAATTGATTCTTCCAGAAAGTCTCCAGAAAGGAACTCAGCCCTGCCAACACATTGTCTTAAATTCAGTGAGATACCTTTCAGAATTGTGAGCTACAAAACTATAAAATAAGAGGTTTATATATTATTTTAATCTACTATGTTTGTGGTAATTTGCTATATTAGGAATAGAAACACCAATATATTTTCCATAGGCTCATTTCCTATTTTGCTGTGGCCGGAAAGAGTTAGTGTCCGATTACAGAGTCCCTTGGACGGCAAAAAGATCAAACCAGTCAATCCTAAAGGAAATCAACCCTGAATATTCATTGGAAGGACTGAGGCTGAAGTTGAAGCTCCAATACTTTGGCCACCTGATGTGAAGAGCCGACTCATTGGAAAAGACCCTAGTGCTGGGAAAGATTGAGGATAGGCAGAGAAGGGGACAACAGGGATTGAGCTGGTTGGATGTCATCATCGACTCAATGGACATCAGTTTGAGCAAACTGGGAGACAGTGAAGGACAGAAAATTCTGGCATGCTGCAGTCCATGTGGTTGCAAAGAGTTGGACATGACTCAGCAACTAAACAACATAAAGTATGTATCAGAGAGGAACAAAATGGCTATTGGTATGAAAACAAGGCAACTAAGCAATATATTGCCTCGTAAAATAACCTCCCCCCTCAAAATTCAGTCAGTGCAGATGAACATTTATTGAGCCTGTTTTAAAGGGGACATGTTTGAGAGATGCCTTTCTTCTATCTGTGTATTGTCCATCCCTGCCACTCTATTTATCCTCAAGTGGGTACATTCCATGTCTCACTAGTCTTTTATAATTATCCAAGCTTCTATGATGGAATGGAAGTCTTGTTCAAAGGCTCAGAACCTTCTTGGAAAGTTGTGGTTAATAGAGCAACAGTCACAGGTATGAGAATCTGCTTCATTTTCTAAACTGAAAAACAAAACAAAAACAAAAAAACATGAGTTCCCAATAGACGAGAACCTAGTGTTCAAAAGATTAGGCTGATCTTTCCAATTTCCCACTGTGACCATGGACATGTGACTTATTTTCTTTAAGGTGTAAATTCCTTATTCTCCCTCCTCTTCTTTGAGCCTTAAGCAATATACCTTCACACTGTCCAGGTTTACATTTTACTACATGAATAAATCACTTTAGAAATTTCCCAAAAAGCCAGAAGTGAGGCAGAATATTAAAATGGGGACCTCCTAATTGAGAGCTTCTGGGTTTTATGACTTTTAATTGAATTATATATATTTGTAAATCAGAAAATCTGCCTTTTCTTCAGGCTGTCCCTTAAAAACATTCCATGAACTGGACTGGAATCCTCATATTAAAGAGACAGGAAATCTTGGAACACTCAGAGGAGAGAACTTGTTTTTCCTATGCCTATTCGATGACTGGAAATCTAGACAGTTAGACTTGGAAGGTAAACCTCAGAAAGGAAAGAAGCTGACTTTCATCTCCATATTAAAATTATAGCTGATCTCAACATCTTGAAAGTTTTAAATTGGAATCCTTTCCAAGTGGATTAATACCAGCATTGAAAATGGTATGGAATTCCTAATAAGGTATCGGAGACAAGAGAGAAGAAACTTACCAAAAAACACTGCATTGGACCTGTTCCTGCCCATGGAGATACTGGGTCACCTGTAATTAAGAAATGGTTTTTATTCACTTCCAGTAAATATCATTCAGAGTGTGTCTGTCATTCAGCTCACAGCCTCAAGTAGCCCCCTAGGAAATATAGGACTCCACTGAGAATGGCAGCAAAACCTCCCTCCTCCTAACTGCCGAGTCACTCTGCCATGCCTGAAGTCCTACCAGAGGAAATGAAGCACAAGAGCAGTTCAAGAGAAAGATTTGCTTAAAGGGCTGGTCTCCACTGACACTTAGAAGTCCCTGAGAGTCTCACATGACTGGTCATACCTTCATATGAAGAACCATATTCTCTCTTCTCCCCCAAAAGTGGATTCTGCTAGTGAACATGGTCCCTGACTGAGAAGGGTGTAGACATGGTAAGAGTACCTTCCCCAGTCCCACTTCGTGAGTCTGTCCTGGAGTGCCTCCCAAGAAAAAAAATCCCTCAAAGACCAAGAAGAGCAAACAAGAGAGGTCTTTGGACTTGCCTCATGCTTCAGCCACAGGCTCTTCAGAATAACCAGCAGTGACACCTTCTAGAAATAAAGGAATAAATTTCCTGATTTAAAAGGTTAAAATCTCCATGGATTTCCTCTTCCTATTAAAGACCAAAGCTTCTCAATATATACATGTATCAAATAATTGTTATACACCATAAACTTATAAAATATTTTATGGGAGTTATATCAATAAAACTGGGGTGAAATTATTAAAAAATAAATGTATTATAGGAAAAACAAAGCTGCAGAGTTTATTGGTAATTGGCACAGTTAAAAGGATCTCTAGATAAACAGGCTACAGGTCCCAATATATTAGCAGAAATGATCAAATGGATCTGGGCCATAAAGCTGCTTCATACTCCTACAGTCAAATGCGAGTGTTTTCCTAATATCCCATGGGATGGAGGTGGTGGTGGGGATGGATGAGGGACAAAGAATTAACTTACATTAACTTTTCAATCAATTACTACAGACTGGGTAGTTAGAGCATAGTACTCAGGTGGAGCTCCATTTTGCAAATGAGGTATACTCTACAAGGAAGATAATTAGTGGAAGAGGAAGAATTTAAAGCCAGAAAACCAATATTTTTTAACTGGCCCTTTGGCCTCCACTAAAATACAATTTCTAGATTTCTTCAACTACTGTCTAAAGTACTCCATATGCTTAGAGCTGTGCTGCAATACAATCCATCTCAATCAATGTTGGCTATTATTTAAGATATAAGAATCAGACTGTTTAGAAATTTGCTTTTGCAAGTAAGAACCAAGGGTCTTTCTTAGCAAAAATTGCAGGCATTCCCTCAGTCTACTGGGGTTTGTTTGTAGGGGTAGAAAGCATTGAAATCTTATGACCTCTTGACTGAGTGACAGGCAGAAAATTGAAAAATAATGGCAGCTTAGAAGAGGGATGGACAGAGGTTGGAACACTGCTTAATTCCGAAAGCTTTTAAATCAAAAAGCTTCTGTTCAGTCTATATTCAAATAAGATTTACACTTAGTGTAATTTTATTTCAAAATTCTGTTTGAAATGAATTGTAATCAACTGGAAAGGAAAAAGAAATTGTTAACTCCTTTACTGACACCACTTCCATCGACTCTACAGAGACATGAAGTAGCTTGTCCTTTCTAGCAAATCCCAGAAAGTGGGTCCCAGAGTTCAGATCAGGACAGAACTTAGAGCTGGAGCTAGGTTGATATTCAACTGGTTTCAATTCCTGGCATTCTGTGAAATACTTCAGTTTCCCTCAAGTTTCACTGAATTTTTGACAAAATTTACTCCACCTCAGAGAACAAAGCCACAAAAATACCCCCAAATGTATAAATCATGATAGAACATTCCTCTGCAAAGAGCTATAAACAAGGAAAGGGAGAGCAGGGAAACATTTCTACATTTCTGAAGAGAGGAATCCTCACTTGTAACCTGAGTGGCTTCTTCCTTAGAGCTGAGGGTGTTTAATTCCACATTAGTATGCAATTCTAGGAAAATAGAATGGAGGATGGGTGTGTTCACAGGCTTATGCTGGGAATCAAGTACACTGGAAAAAAGCAGGCTTCCCTCAGAAATACAAAAGAGGGAGCCCACCAATCTATGCCCAGGCTTCCTTTGCCAGAACCCTCACTTACCAAAAGTCTGTGTGTTCTCCAAATACACTTCAGTGGTTGTTTCTGCATCTTCAGTGAAGTCATGGTGAGTGGTCAAGTCTGATAGGCCAGTGGTTGACTCTAAGCCAATAGTTGACTGTAGGTCAGTGGTCGACTCCAGGTCAGTGGGGCTAGTAGTTGACTGTAGGCCAGTGACTGACTGTGGGCCAGTGGTTGACTCCAGGTCAGAGGGGCTAGTGGTCAACTTTAGGTCAGTAGTTGACTGTGGGCCAGTGGTTGACTCCAGGTTCATGCGCCCAGTGGCTGACTCTAGGCCAGTGGTTGACTCCAGGTCAGTGGGGCTAATGGTTGACTCTAGGCCAGTGGTTGACTGTAGGCCAGTGGTCAACTCCAGGTGAGTGGAGCCAGTAGTCGACTCTAGGCCAGAGGTTGACTCTAAATCTGTGATTGACTCCAGGTTAGTGTGGCCAGTGGCTGACTCTAGGCCAGTGGTTGCCTCCAGGTCAGTGGGGCCAGCTGTTGATTCTAAGCCAATTGTTGACTCTAGGCCTGTGGTTGACTCTAGGACAGTTGTCGACTCCAGGTCAGTGGGGACAGTTGTTGACTCCAGGTAAGCGGGGCCAGTGGTTGACTCTAGGCCACTGGTTGACACGAGGCCAGTGTACTCTATGTCCATGGTTGACTCTAAGTCAGCGAAGAATTCTTGAGGAGATAAGAAGAAAAAACAGCTCAAGTACTTTCTAGTGAGAATATTTCCACCATCTCCACACCCCTCCATTCATAGCTAGATCTTTTTCCAGGGAAAACATAGAACAGAAAAGGGTATATTGACTCATACTGGTCTCCCCACAAGTTTCTCTTTTACCAAGTGCTAGAATGTCCAGAAGACTAACTACCAGGAATATGCACATAGGCTCCTACTCCTCCCTCTTTGAGGGGCTGGTTTAGGAAGGAGCATTTGATACTATGCCTCTAAATATGAATCAGTCAGACTGCAATGGAATTAAATTTCAAAAACTCTTCTATATAATTCTTTCAATTCCTAAAACAAAATTATCAGAGAGGGCAAGGAGCAAAGACAACAACTATTTCCAAGATGCAAAAGCAAGAATGGATTTGACTCTAAAATAGGGCCTCCTACCATTTTCATTTAGCAGGCTATATTTAGTACTTCATTTTCCAGTCTGCCCAAGAGAATGCATAATCCAGTCATTCTGGGACTTGTGAACCATAAGAGCATCATAACCTGACGAACTTGCACCTGGGCCTGCTTGGGCTGGAATGAAAGACCGCAGTCCTCATGGCTGCCTAGTCTAGCAGGTTGTGGGCAGCCTGCCAATGAGGCCAAAATCATGAGCTCTAATTTAGTCATTTGATTAATCATTCATTCATATGCAATAAAAAAAAAACCCAGACCCAGCAGTGGATAAATTGAGAGCTACAGGAGAAGAACTGGGAGGAAGTAGAGGGGGAAATCAGCACCTAAATGAAAATGAATGAACACCCCGCCTCTTTTTTGTGTTTTTAAAATATTAATTTTAATTGGAGGATAATTGCTTTACAATGTTGTTTTGGCTTCTACCATACAACAACATGAATCACTCAGAAGTATACATGTCCCCTCCCTTTTGGAGCTCTCTCCCACCCCACCCCCACCCTATCTCATCCCTATGGGTTGTCACAGAGCACCACGCTGAGCTCCCTGTGTTTTACAGAAACTTCCCACTAGCTATCTAAGTTACATATGGTAATATATATGTTTCAATGCTATTCTCGCAATTCATCCTACTCTCTCCTTCCCTCACTGTGTCCACAAATCTGTTCTCTATGTCTGCATCTCTATTCCTGCCCTGCAAATAGGTTCATCAGTATCATTTTTCTAGGTTTCATATATATGCATTAATATGCACTATTTGTTTTTCTCTTTCTGACTTACTTCACTCTGTATAACAGGCTCTAGGTTCATCCACCTTATTGGAACTGACTCAAATGTGTTCCCTTTCATGGCTGTGTAATATTCCATTGTCTATATAGACCACAACTTCTTTATTCATTCATCTGTTAATGGACGTCTAGGTTGTTTCCATACCCAAGCTATTGTTAATAGTGTTGCAGTGAACATTGGGGTACATGTGTTTTCTCAATTATGGTTTTCTCAAGTTTTATGCCCAGTAGTGGGATTGCTGGGTCATATGGTACTTTTGTTCCTAGGTTTTTTTTTTTAAGGAATCTCCATACTGTTCTCCATAGTGGCTGTGTCAGTTTACATTTCCAGCAACAGTGCAAGAGGGTTCCTTTAAATTTAAAAGCTTTTGCACAGCAAAGGAAAGTATAAGCAAGAGGAAAAGATAGCCCACACAATGGGAGAAAATAATTGCAAATAAAATGACTGACAAAGATTCACCTCCAAAATACACAAGCAGCTCAGGTAGTTCAAGATCAGAGGAACAAACAACCTAAACAAAAAATGGCCAGAAGACCTAAATAGACATTTCCCTAAAGAAGACATACAGATGGCCAATAACACGTGAAAAAATGCTCAATATTGCTCATTATTAGAGAAATGCAAATCAAATCTCTAATGAGGAATGACCTCACACTGGTTAGAAAGGCCATCATAAAAAAAAAAAAAATCCACAGACAAAAAGTGCTTGAAGAGGAAGATGAGAAAAGGGAACTCTCCTCTTGAGAGATTGATTTGAGTCCAGGAAGAAATGAAGTGGCCCTGATAGTCGACAAAAGAGACCAAAATGCAGTACATCGGTGCAATCTCAAAAACAACAGAATGATCTCAGTTCCCATTCAAGGCAAACCATTCAGCATCATGGTAATCCAAACCTATGTCCCAACTACTAATGCCAAAGAAGCTGAAATGGACCAGTTCTATGAAGACCTACAAGACCTTCTAGAACTAACACCAAAAAAAAGATACCCTTTTCATCATGGGGGATTGGAATGCAAAGGTAGAAAGTCAAGAGATACCTGGAGTAACAGAAAAGTTTAGCCTTGGAGTACAGGGCCAGGACTAACAGAATTTGTCAATGGAATACACTGGTTATAGCATGCGCCCTCTTCCAACAACACAAGAGAAGACTCTACACATGAACATCCCTGGATAGTCAATACTGAAATCAAATTGATTGTATTCTTTACAGCCAAAGATGGAGAAGCTTTATACAGTTAGCAAAAACAAGACCTGGAGCTGACTGTGGCTCAGATCAGAAGCTCCTTATTGCAAAATTCAGACCTAAATTAAAGAAAGTAGGGAAAACCATTATGCCATTCAGTGAAAGTGAAAGTCGTTCAGTTGTGTCCATCTCTTTGCAACCCCATGGACTATACAGTCCATGGAATTCTCCAGGCCAGAGTACTGGAGTGGGTAGCCTTTCCCTTCTCCATAGTATCTTCCCAATCCATGTAGCGAACCCAGGTCTCCTGCATTACAGGCGGATTCTTTACCAGCTGAGCCTCAAAGAAAGCCCATGCCATTCAGGTATGACCTAAATCGAATCCCTTATTATTATAGTGGAAATGATTAATAGATTCAAGGGATTAGATCTGATAGACAGATAGATCTGAAGAACTGTGGATAGAGCTTTGTAACACTGCACAAGAAGCAGTGACCAAAACCATCCCAAAGAAAAGGAAATGCAAGAAGGCATAGTAGTTGTCTGAAGAGGCTTTACAAATAGTTGAGGGGAAAAGAAAAATGAAAGGCAAGGCACAAAGGGAAAAATACATCCAACTGAATGCAGAGTTCCAGAGAATAGCAAGGAGAGACAAGAGAACCTTCTTAAATGAACAATGCAAAGAAATAGAGGAAAACAATAGAATGGGAAAGAATAGAGATCTCTTCAAGAAAATTGGAACATTTCATGCAGGATGGGCACAATAAAGGACAGAAATGGTATGGACCTAACAGAAGCAGAAAATATTAAGAAGAGGTGGCAAGAAAACACAGAAGAACTGTACAAAATAAGTCTTAATGACCCAGATAACCATGATGGTGTGGTCACTCACCTATAGCTGGACATCCTACAGTGTGAAGTCAAGTGGACCTTAGGAAGCATTACTACAAACAAAGGTAGTGGAAGTAATGGAATTCCAGTTGAGCTATTTCAAATCTTAAAAGATGATGATGTTAAAGTGCTGCATTTAATACACCAGCAAATTTGGAAAACCCAGCAGTGGCCACAGGCCTGGAAAAGGTCAGCTTTCATTCCAATTCCAAAGAAGGGCAATGCCAAATATTGTTCAAACTGTTGTACAATTGCACTCATTTCACATGCTAGTGAGAATATGCTCAAAATTCTCAAGCTAGGCTTCAGCAGTATGTGAATCAAAAATTTCCAGATGGAAATCTGGGTTTAGAAAAGGCAGGAACAAGAGATCAAATTGCAACACTCACTGGATCTTGAAGAAAGCAAGGGGATTCCAGAAAAAACCTACATTCATGAAACAGAAAAAATCTGTTTCATTGACTATGCTAAAGCCTTTGATTGTGTGGATCACAACAAACTGTGGGAAATTCTTAAAGAGATGGGAATACCAGACCACCTTACTTGTCTCCTGAGAAGCCTGTATTTGGATCACGAAACAAACAGTTGGAACCGGACATGGAACAACGGACTTGGTTCAAAATTGAGAAAAGAATATGTCAAGGCTGTATACTGTCACCCTGCTTATTTAACTTCTATGCAGAGTACATCATGGGAAATGCCAAGATGGATGAAGCAAAAGTGGAATCAAGATTGTCAGGAGACAGAGCAACAATCTCAGATATGCAGATGATACCACTCTAATGGCAGAAAGTGAAGAGGAACTAAAGAGCCTCTTGATGAGAGTGAAAGAGGAGAGTGAAAATGCTGGCTTGAAACTCACTATCAAATAAAACTAAGATCATGGCATCTGGTCGCATCATTTCATGGCAAATAGAAAGGGAATAGGAGGAAACAGTGGCAGATTTTATTTTCTTGGGCTCTAAAATCAATGTGGACAATGACTGCAGCCATGAAATTAAGATACGTGCTCCTTGAAAGGAAAGCTATGACAAACTTAGACAGTGTATTAAAAAACAGAGACATCACTTTGCCAACAAAAGTCCATACAGTTAAGACTATGGTTTTTCCAGTAGTCATTACAGATGTGAGAGTTGAACCATAAAGAAGGCTGAGCACCTAAGAACTGATGCTTTCAAATTGTGGTGCTGGAGAAGATTCTGGAGAGTCCCTTGTACTGCAAGGAAATCAAACCAGTCAATCCTAAAGGAAATCAACCCTGAGTATTCATTGAAAGGACTGATGCTGAAACTGAAGCCCAAATACTTTGGCTGCCTGATACAAAGAACTGACTCACTGGAAAAGACCTGATGCTGGGAAAGATTGAAGACAAAAGGAGAAGGGGGCAGGAGAGGATGAGATGATTAGACAGCATCACCAACTCAACGGATAGGAATTTGAGTGAACTCCCAGAGATAGTGAAGGACCCAGGGGAGCCTGGTGTGCTGCAGCCCATCGGGTCACAAAGAGGTTGGACTTGACTGAGCGACTGAATAACAACAGCAGGAAGGACTAGAAGAGAAAGAGCCTTGTGGGAAAAGCAGCCTGCCACTGGTTCTGGAGACACTGATTCTTTCCTCTCTCAAGTGGCACAAATTTTTGCTCCAGACCCACTGATTCCCACCGCGTGTGTCCCAGCCAGTGGCTAGAGCACTTTGAATCTTACTCTCCTGTAAAGTGAGAATACACCCGAGGACTTTTTAACCTGAACCAAATAGAGTAAAGCCTCTTTTAGCACCTAATAGTGAAGGTGACCACAAGGAAACCCCAGGAGCCCTCTCATCATCAACTCGAATTCCATCTAACTACCGGTCAGGTAGCATGACTATATGAGGCAGGTTCAAAACACAGCCTTAATCTTACCCAAGCCACTCAAATTCCCCAAGGCCTCAGAGCTCAGCCACCCATCCCCACCTCGCTTTACAAGGCCTCTGTCTCTGTGTCACACATACACACACAAATATACTCACACACACAACGAATGGATTTTAGCCCTCTTCTCCAAAAGATCTCCCGATGTCCACTCACCCTGAAGCAGCATAGGGTAGGTCATAGCCAGAGCGAAGCAGGTGGAGAGGAGAAGGGCTTGCTGGAGCATGATGCTGGTGGTGCTGGGTGGAGAGCCCAGAAGGCTGGCAGAGGTGAGGAGGCCAAGAGTGCTGGACTGCAGCTCTGCAGGGCATTTATACAAACTCAGGCCCAGATCTCTGAAGTCAGCATTCCCAGGGGGCTGGAGGAAGAGAAAAAAAAAAATCACTCACAAAGGATGAGATTGCCCTGGAGCAAAGGAGGGAAAAGGTAAGTGGAGGGGTGAGGGGCGGAGGGAGGAAGTAAGGAGTTTGGAGGAAACTATCAATGAGATCCTTGTCGCTGATGTTAGAGTCCTTTGCCCCATTACCACCAGGGGCCGGGCTTCTTCTTCCACCAGATAGCAGACACTCCCCTCCTGACCCAGGGCTGCAGGTGTATCCTATAGCATGCCTCAGCACGTGCCTTGGGCTCAGTCATGTCCGACTCTTTGTGACCCCATGGACTGTAACCTGGAGTGGGTTGCCATTTCCTTCTCCAGGAGATCTTCCCCACCCTGGGATCGAACCTGCATCTCCTGTGTCTCCTGTATTGCAGGCAGATTCCTTACCCGATGAGCCATCGAGGAAAGCTGTAGTTGGGAGCCTAATAATGCTTTACTGAGCCCCTGAAATGCCACCATTTGTCAGGCTGCGAGACTAAGAACCGGGGTGAGAGTCTGCTGGCTACTTTGGTGCTGAGTGAGAGCCCTTTGCGAACAGGCTCTAACTCCAGCAGATCCCTGCAAGAGAACCGTGATCAGAATGATAACTAGCACAACTGTTATAATCACAGAAATACCTAAAATGGTAAGATTTCACATGTGCCACTGTCTCCCTGGATATTCACCATGATTCTGTGCGAGAGTCACTCTTATTCTAATTTTTTTTCTGGTGAGGAACCTAGAGGCTGAGAGACTACATGACTCCAGATTTCACCTGAAGATACTCACGCCCTGCATCCATTCCTTGAACATGTGGGAGCTCTCTTAGCTGTGAGGACTGGCTCCTGCTAATGACCTGCCCAGTCCTCTAGGGGGCAGTACGAAGCTGCGAGGCGTCCTTGGCTGAGCACTGACTCTAACCCTCCTCAGTTCAGTTGCTCAGTCGTCTCTGACTCTTGGCGACCCCATGGACTGCAGCACGCCAGGCCTCCCTGTCCATTACCACCTCCCAGAGTTTACTCAAACTCATGTCCATTGAGTCGGTGATGCCATTCAACCATCTCATCCTCTGTTGTCCCCTTCTCCTGCCTTCAATCTTTCCCAGCATCAGGGTCTTTTCAAATGAATCAGTTCTTTGCATCAGGTGGCCAAAGTATTGGAGTTTCAGCTTCAACATCAGTCCTTCCAATGAACACCCAGGACTGATCGCCTTTAGGATGGACTGGTTGGCTCTCCTTACAGTCCAAGGGACTCTCAAGAGTCTTCTCCAACACCACAGTTCAAAAGCATCAATTCCTCAGCACTCAACTTTCTTTATAGTCCAACTCTCACATCCATACATGACCACTGGAAAAACGATAGCCTTGACTAGAAGGACGTTTGCTGGCAAAGCAATGTCTCTGCTTTTTAAAATGCTGTCTAGGTTGGTCATAACTTTCCTTCCAAGGAGTAAGCATCTTTTAATTTCATGGCTGCAGTCACCATCTGCAGTGATTTTGGAGCCCAAAAGAATAAAGTCAGCCACTGTTTCCACTGTTTCCCCATCTATTTGTCATATTTGCTAACCCTCCTGGTAGATACCAAACAGGCCGAGAAAACAGAAGTTTGTGAGGCTGGCTTATCTAAGTCGGCCTCCACCCACTGAAGTCAGGACTGTTACCTAGAGAGGAGGTCTGCACAATTCCAATCACAAGGTCAAATCCTGTGAGACCTTTTGGTCTCAATTTTCTTTACTTACAAGGTCATGGCTGATTCCTGCTCCTCAGAAACCACAGGGCTGATAATACTATTGAGAGAAACCTCTCAGTAATAGTAATAAGAGCTAGTTATAGAGAACTTAACTGTTGGCATAGACATATGTTTCTTTATCCTAATGCCAAACCTAAGGTAATCTTATTATTCTCCTTTTCCAGATGAAGAAACCATGGCACAGAGAGATTAAGGAGCTTTTGAAAGTAAAGGTTATAGAATCAGAAAGCAAACCTTTGGGCAGCCTGATGCTGGGGCCTCTGCTCTCAACCAGCTGTTCCATTTGTGCCCCCTCCCGGTTGTCTGGCTGGGCTCATGGGCAGTTTTGTCCTGGGAAATGTGGTACTGCACAGGCTTTACCTTCAAGGCAGAGGGTAAACAACACATTCTGCTTTTCTGGAAAGTACATTTCCTTGGCAAGGCCTGTACAATGAAGTGTAACCAAACCCAATAGTCAGGAGCCTAAAAAGCAAGAAGCTCAAGCTTTTGCCTGAAAAACTTGCAGGCAAATGACACTAGCAAACAATAGACTCAAATCAGAAAATCATACAGCAAGTCACTGGCTGATGTAAAAGGGAGGATTTCATCTGGGTCAGCACACTGTGAGAGTGCTTCCTACCCTGGAAAAGTGGAAGAATAGGCTTCCAAATGTGCAAAGTAGAATCTCAGGTCTCTTTAAGGAATGCAGGACTAAGACCAGAGTCATCAGAAATGACCAACTTCATCCAGAAGCTTCCTCTAGAAGCTTTGTTTCAAAACTCAACTACCAAAAAATATAGTTACTGCTTTAGATGTTCTTCCAAAGCTCAGACGGTAAAGCATCTGCCTGCAATGCTGGAGACCCGGGTTCAATCCCTGGGTCGGGACGATCTCCTGGAGAAGGAAATGGCAACCCACTCCAGTATTCTCGCCTGGAAAATCCCATGGACGGGGGAGCCTGGTAGGCTACAGCCCATGTGGTCGCAAAGTGTCGAACATGACTCAGCGACTTCACTTTCCTTTTTTCCTTTTCCAAAGATCATGGTACAATTTTTATGTGCCTCAGTTTCCACCAGAGTTAGTGCAAGTACAACTTCCAGGTGACCATTATATTGAAATATGGGAGCAAGTTGGTCTCCTTTCATGAAAATGTTTCATTCTTTCTCGTCACTTGAATATAGTTAGGTCGTTAACACATGGGTACCAGAGACATCTCTGCTAAGGGGAGATGTAATAACGTTGTCAGGTTATAATTATAGGGTCTTTTTATTGATATGGCATTGTAGGTCTGTTTTATAGTATTAAAATAATTTGGCTTTCTTAACTTTTTACATTGCTATCAACTGTTATAGAATCATATCATCTCAAAGCTTGAAGGTATATTAAATTTTACCCAGCTCAATCAAACAGCCAATTCTTTTTTTTTTAAGTCAATTCTTTTTTTAAAAGTAAGAATAACTTTTTCTTTAAATAACATCCCTAGCAATGGAGAACTCACTGCCTTGAGGAGAATAGTTCATCTTTGGACAATTATTCCTCGCAGTGGAAAAAATGTGTCTTCTTGTAATTTCAACCTATTTGCCCCAGTTTTATTCTTGGGGTGCATATATGTATGTATGTATATGTGTGTGTGTGTGTGTGTGTGTGTGTGTGTGTGTATAAATAGGTCCTTTTTTCCCTCTCTTCAGATATCAAAAGTGGCTATCATTTTACTTTCAAATTTCTTCACCATCCTAAAAATAATGTAAGTTTCTTACTATCTTATTCCCTCAAATTTCTCCAAAACCTAGCAAAGTGTCTGGCACATCAGAGGTGATAAAAATATTTATTAATAATTTAATGATAGATGATTCTTCGTCTTTAGTCTCTGGTCACATTCATCTGTGGTCTTCTGAAAAGGAAACACTATAATTGAAACAAGTTAGCACAAATTTGATCTAATTAGAGAGAAGGAAAAACTATTACTATCCTTTTTTCTAGAAAATTTGTACATTAAATGCCAAATTAAATGCTAAACTGTGAGCCTGGCAGGAAGTGTGGAAAGATTCCTGAAAGCACAAAAGAAATGCAAAGCTTTTGCATCTACTTTCTCCAGAATGAGATCAATTTCTGGCAAGTGGGCTGAGTTGGGAATGACATCCTACAGACATGTCTGTATGTGTGCGTGCTTGCTAAATTGCTTAAGGAATGTCTGACTCTGTGCAACCCTATGGACTATAGCCCACCAGGCTCCTCTGTCCATAGGATTCTACAGGGAAGAAGGGGTTGCCAGGCCCTCCACTAGCGCCATCTCACCCTCGACAGACAGAAGCCCTGAAGCACCTAGGAGCCATGGAGCCAGCAGTTTGGCCCAGGGCAAAGTGCTCCTTTCATTCCCCATTCCAAACTCCAACAGTCATTCTCCCCTTAAGGGGCAATTTCCAGAGAGCAAGACAATTTTCTCCCTTAAGGAACTAGGTGCCCAGAATGACTACCTGACCTCACAGATGATATACCGATAAAGGTTAGCCTAGTCTTTTTAGGGTCAGGCAAGCATTTTTCCAGCATATGATCAGTGACCTAGCAATTACACTAAGTATCTTGAACAATTCAAAAGAAACCTCAAAACTGATTGTTTATCAGAGGTTGTAACCATGGAGTAAATTTATTTATTTTTATGTTTACATTACAAAGGCAGTTTATAACAAGATACTGAGACTCCTAATCCAGTGCTAGAGATACCAAAAAAAGTTATTTAGTTAAAAAAACATTTACAGAGTCACTGAAATGCCATGACTAAAGCAGCAGAGGCAGGAGACAAAAGGTCAAAACCACAGACTCTAGTGTCCAGCCGCCTGGACTCCATCCAATATATCCTGGCTCTACCAGTAATAATTAAGCAACCACGGACAAGTTACTCAACTCATAGGAGCTCAGCTTTTTCTTTACATGATAAAGATAAAAATAGTTTTCACTTTATTGGATTGCTATAAGGATTAAATTAATGTGTTCATGTAAAATGCCTAGAATAAGGAAAATCATAATAAAAATGAGCTATTATTAGGTGCTAAAAATTAGCTATTGTTAGGTGCTAAAAAAAAAAAAAAGCTCAGGTCTCCAAAGAGTTGATAATATTGTTTTAAGGTGGGAATACAAAGGAACATCATCCTGAAAAGTTCCATGGAGAAGGTGGAACAAGTTGAAGAGTTAAGATTCACTTGAATTTTTATTTATTTATTATATTTTTTCTTTTTCTTTTTCTTTTTTTTTTTTTTTTTTTTTGCTGTCCTAGG